GCATATGATCCTAGCTACTCAGGAGGCTGAGATCTGAGGATCGTGGTTCAAAGCCAGGCCGGGCAGGAAAGACTGTGGGACTCTTTTTTTTTTTTTGTGGGGGGGGCGGGGGTCCGGTCATGGGGCTTGAACTCTGGGCCTGGGCTCTGTCCCTCAGCTCTTCAGCTCAAGGCTACTTCTCTACCGCTTGAGATGAAGAGCTGAGGGACAGCACCCAGGACCAGAGATCAGGCCCCACAACCGACCAAAAAAAATTAAGAAAATCTTGAAAACTGAAGTGGCAATAGATCCACTGATATACAGTGAGAAAGATCTTGTGCTGTCTAAGCTTTGTTGCATACTAAGACAGAAACATCAACAATCTCCTGAAATAACCAAACAGGACTCCATCTCATAAGATAGTATCATAACAAATATTGAATATAATCCACAAAGAACTGGGGTATGTGATCAATTTACAAAGGAAAAGACAAAAATGCCAACATTGACAGGCACTAGTGGCTCAAACTTGTACTCCTAGATATTCAGGAGGCTAAGATTTGAGGATCATGGTTCAAAGCCAGCCTGGGCAGGGAAGTCTGTGAAACTCTTAGCTCCAATTAACAAACAAAAAGCTGGAAGTGCTGGTTGTTAGTGGCTCACATCTGTAATCCTAGCTAATTAGGAGGCTAGATCTGAGGATCATGGTTCAGTTGGAACCCATCTGGGGCAGAAAAGTCCATGAGATTCTTATTTTCCATTTAATCAACAGAAAACCTGAAGTGGAGCTGTGGCTCAAAGTGGAAGAATGCTACCCTTGAGTTAAAAAGCTCAGGGATAAGCACCCAGGCCTTGAGTTCAAGCCCCTATGACCAACAAGTGGTGGAATGCTTGCCTTGAGCACAAAAGCTCAAGGACACTGTTTAGACCGAGTTCAAACCCCATGACCAGCACAAGGGAAAAAGAAAGCCAAGCCGGTGCCAGTAGCTCACACCTACTCAAGAGGCTGAGATATGAGGATTGTAGTTCAAAGCCAGCTAGGGCAGGAAAAGTCCGTGAGACTCTATCTCCAATAAATCACTCAGAAAACCAGAAGTGGCGCTGTGGCTCAAGTAGTAGAGCGCTAGCATTGAACTTAAGATCTCAGGGACAGCACCCAGGCCCAGAGTCCAAGCCTCATGACCAAAAAAAAAAGAAAGACAACATCAAGACAACT